TGGCGGGTAACGCTCACCATGGGAGCGGTCTTTCTAATGGGATGCTGGAATCCATTTTTCGCGGCCTTTCTGTTGTGGATTCTGTTCTTATCGACGTCTTTCGCATACGTTTGGGCGTTGTTGTTTCCGCGGTTCTGCTTGATGCCTTCACGGCCGGTGCAGTTTTCGCTCTGGCAAATCGGCGGCTGCACCATTGTTTTGGCCGCTTCGATGGCCTTATTGCGGACTGCTGGTTTCAACTTGAAGGAGCTGGAAAACCCTGAACTACGATCGGTCTTCTTTCTACTGAGTACCGTGGTGGTACTCAACGTAATTTTGGCAGCAATACCGGTTCTAGTTCCGGCCCGTTACCGAAACGCGCGGCTTTTTCGCTGGTCAGCGATGTGGGTATTGGTCGTACTGCCTATTGTAGAAATTGTCAGCGTAGCTGTTTTGACACGTTCTTCATCTTGGTCAGGCGAGAGTGTCAGCCTGATTGCTTTTTTATACATCGGTTGCCATGTTTTCGGGGCGATCGTCGTTTGGGTGATTGTCTACACCATGGAAGGGGCCCTCGCGTTTTGCGAAGTCACCGCTCCGAAGTTCGATGAAAGACCTACCGATGCCGATCCGTTTGCTGACGTCGTGGGTCATTTCGAGATGGAGTCATCATGAACATGATCAAGCGTCGACGATGGATTCTCACAGGGGCGTTACTGTTTCTAACCACCACGCAAACTGTCGACGCCCAAGATCACGCCGGCAAAGCAACCTTGCTGGAGAATTTTCTCTACAAGCTAGGCCAGCGATATCCGGTTCAGTTCACGCTGGAATGGTGCAATAAAACCGAGCATACGTTTCGCCCTGCCTATATCGATGTGTCGCAGGTCAAACTTGACGCGAACGATTCCACTCAGCAGATTGTCGATAAGCTGAACCGAGGCGTCGAAGCGTATCGCTTTGCACGCAACGAAAAGAACCCGCGCGTCGTGCATGTGATTGAAAAGCGTCTCGATACGTTGAAAGGCTACGCCCTGAAGAAGAAGCTCTCACTTGATTTCG